GTTGATAAACTATTAGCCTATTTATTTTGTAAAGAACTGAAGGCTTTGTACTTCTCTCATATCTGAATATCTACTTAAACAACATCCTTCACATATGCAAAAAATATGTTTGGAAAACACCACGGCACGGTGATGCTCGCGCTGACCGGCAAAACCTACATATTTTAAAAAAGACAAGCTAAATTGAGTCACGAATACCTTTTGTATGTTTAGCTGTCTCATTTACTTTGATGATGAAGAGGCTGCGATGTAAAGATTGCAATGCTAGAATTGATTATGTTGTGTGCGCGCGGGAGGCGCCGGTGCGAACACTTGGGTTACTCGCATCAGCGGAAAGATGTGATAGATAAGAGCAAGACATCATTCAAAACGATCTATTTTTTTATTTGTGTACCTTCAAAATAACAGTGAAACGTTGTACTTTTGTAAAATAAAGAAAACATACAAAATGCACTTGCCGTCTCTGTGAACCTCATCCTGAAATGAAGAAAAACTCAGCGATACTGTCTAATGTGTGTGACACTGAAGACTAGAGTAATGGCTGCTGAAAATTCAGCTTTTGCCATCACAAGAACAAATTCCATTCTAAGATGCATTACAATAGAAAACAGTTATTTTTTAAAAGTTCACATTTTTACAGTTTTTCCCCGTCCTTTCACATTAAAAATATTACCAAACTTGTAGGTTGGCATCAAACTTGTTTAGGTAATGTTCAGTCCATTGTTAACACTGAGCCATTTGCTGTTCTGTTTCATTGTGTCTCACAAAGCATTTGAGTCGGGTGTTTTTGTTTGTCTCTCTGGCTCTTTCTGCACACTCAGTGGGAATGTTGTGGGATATCACGTGGTGGCCCCATGCAAGCCCTGCTTGCTGTCCTGCAACAATGGTCATTTCTGGATGTTCAACAGTGAGGCTGTGTCCACTATCAATAGACTGGATGCAACAGGTTTGGGACGTCTGATGCAAAAACACTGTCTGTGCCCTCTGCTTATGGTCAGACAGGTTTTGCATACCATTGTTTCAAAGATTATCTGCTCATAGCCATCAAAAAAAAACAAAAAACTAATGGAAGTATAATATACCCAATGTAAACTTTTTGTCAAATGAATCCTGAAATAAAATTAAAAAAACGCTTCAAAGAATATCTTTTGATACAAAACCTTAAAAAGCTTTTTTTTTTTTTTTTGGTCTGCCACACATTTTAAAAGGTAGAAGTCTAGATTGACAAACTAATGCATTTCGGTAATTGAGCCTTCCTCAGAGTGGGCCAGCCTGTCACCCTTTGAGGACGTCTTAATTGCCAAAATGCATTAGAGTGCCAGTGTAGACTTTAAACTTTTTTTGTTTCTAGAAGATGTGCCTTGCATTATAATTTTATCATTACTGTTTGAAACCCAGCTAAAAAGCACCTTATGTTTTTCACAACAAAAGATGCTGCCAAATGATCTTTTAACTGAAACTTCAGTTATTGTTTGGTATAAATTAGGAGTGAGTTCTTGTGTATTTAAAATGAAATGAAGCTTAACTACACACACACTACTGTTAAAAAGTTTGGGGTCAGTGATAGTTTTTTTTTTCTTCAGCAAGGATTCATTAAATTGATCAAAAATGCCAGTAAGCAAAATAATTGTTTAAAATAAATGCTGTACTTTGCTGTAAAAAAATAATTTCAGTATTTCAGACATAAGTTAATAAATGTTCTTTCATAGGGCAGAACTTGCTGCTGTGGGGAGATCTTCCAGAACTGGAGGGCAGTGATGACGAGAGTCTGGACTTTCTCTCAGAAGAAGAGTACCTCAGATAGAAACACACACATCCAAAGGAAGTAGACTCTGACGGTAGCGAACTAGTTTTACTTTCACTCAAACAAGTCTCCGTTTAAAGCACATTGTCTTGTCTTTAGCTGACTGGGAATAGGCAAAAGAAAAAAAAGGTCTTTATCATCCCAGCTTGATTTATATGCATTTTCTTTCTGCATCTCCTCAGATTAGTTTCAGTATGTCAGAGTGCCACTACCAAAGAGCTGTTTCTGTTTTCTTTGCTTTATGGTTGCAGTAGCACAAAACATGATGATTGGATTTAAAGATTTAGGATGTTATCCTCATATGTCTTTATACAACATTCACAAATGGATCAGACTGTTTAAGAAGATTAACAGTAGTGTTACTTTGAGGTGTTAATACAGGTTATTTACTCCGGTACTAATGCAGTTTTTGGGAGGCAACCAGATAGATAGATAGATACAATCTTGCAAAATAAAATGCTGGTTCCACAAGTCTATGTGCTTTTATAGGAAGGAAATGACTGACATTTACCATGTTTTAATGGTTTACCAGTATATTTGTCCATTTCAATTGAATATCACGTAAAGTCCCCTGAAGATGGATATCAATTGGTATATTTATTCTAAACAAGGTTCATCCGTGCATAATATTTTTTTTTATTTAGATTTTGCTCTTTTTTTTTTCTTTTTACAGCTTTGACATTTGAAGTGGCACAAAATGACTTTGCAGCTTTGAGTAGAGTATTTAGGTCTCAGCTCGGTGACATTTGGCATTTCAACAACTTTAATTTAACATTATGGTACTTTGCTTGGCACACTCTTTTCAATTAATGCTGTTTCATGAGATAGTAGTTAAACATTTGTACTTTCTGTACTCCAGTTAAGTTTCACTGTTTGTCACCAGGGCAATCATGAAAACGTCAAATAAATCTACACTTAATAGTAAATAAATTCTTCACGACACTGTGTGACAAACTGGACAAAGCATTTTTAAGCTTTCTGATTTTTTTCCTCTTCCATTTCTTTTGTTTTATAAAGACATGATATAGTCATTCAGTAGCAGTTTTTACACAATCCTGTTTACCATTTCACTGTGTGTAATGATATGATATTCACAGATCATTTTTATATATATATATATATATATATATATATATAATTAAGGCTATAATGCCCCACTGTAAACGTATTAGTGCAAAATTTACGCTTTGTTGCATTTTCAGTAAAAAATAACAGCAACAAGTGTAAACAACCACTATTGAGATAGCTTTCAGGTGTAGCAATTTTAGGGGTTGGCTCTTTTATGCCTTGAAGCGAACTTTAGTATGCATCTATGACCAAAATGAAACAGCGAAAAATATGTTTTGCATTTTAACTTATTAACAGAGGATTTATTTGATTATCTATGTTTTGAATGTATTTATTAACAGACATGATACTGTATTTATACTGACGTGATTTCATTTGCGCCATGTGAGGATGAGGAAAAAAAAACATTTGTATACAGTACTTTTGATCTGCACTGACAATATGTTGTTGGTTTAAACTCTGGGTTATTTTGTATGATGAATGTCTTGATATTAAATTTTTAATGTGGATTTACCTGTGTACGTTTCCTTTACTCGTCTGTCATTTTTAACTATTTTAAACATTAATCTTTTTGTTTAACATTGCATGTCAGATCAAAACCTACACTACTGTTTATAAGTTTGTTTTTGTTTTTTTTCTTTGAACAAAAAAACAACAAAAACAGTAATGTTGTGAAATATGATTACAATAAGATAATTCTATATTGTAATATATTAAATAGTAATTTATTCCTGTAATGGCAAAGCTGAATTTTCAGCATCATTACTCCAGTCTTCAATGTCACATGATCCTTCAGAAATCATTCTAATATGGTGATTTGCTGCTCAAGAAACAACCTATTATTATGTTGAAAGCAGTTGTCCTGTTTAATATTTCTGTGGAAAATGTGATAACTTTTGTTACTAATTAAGCAAAAAAAAAAATTATACCTTTATTTCAACCACTATATTTATTTCGATGTATAATAGAGCAGATTGTCACAACCAGATGAGAAGAGCAATTGTCAGAATAGTGACAAAAACTCTAGCTACAATGCTGACACAGATGCAGAGCTGTTTTGCTGAAATGGCATGAACTTTGTAGCAATCTCCAGTATTTCTCTGATTCGCCTCAGAGAGTGGCTAGACGGATTAAAAAAGCCAGTAGTAAGTGAGACCCACAATTCACTAGAAACCAGCGAAAGCAACATACACACATCCAGGGAACACCTTCATCATGATCTGGGGTTTCGTTTTTTTAGCAAGAAGAACTTGAAAATGTTTTTTTTTTTTTTTTTGGCATGAAGGTTAACAGATAGAACCAAAACAGTCAAATGACTGTGCATACAAAGATTCATTTTCCAGCAGAGCTATATGAAATAATTAATGACCCTTATTTAAATCCAAATAAAATCCTGTATGACCCGAACATTGCAGTTCACAGATATTCTCCAATAAATGTAGGCTAATTTATTGATGTCTGGAAGTTTACTTTAATAAATAAATAAAAAATTAAAGGTGGGATATTTTCTTAAAGTTTGTGGAACAGATTTGGAGAAATTCAACATTACATCATTCTCATTTTGACGGCACCCTTTCACTACAGAGGATCCACTGGTGAGCAAGTGATGTAATGCTACATTTCTCCAAATTTGTTCCGATGAAAAAGCAAACTCATCTACATCTCGGATGGCTTAAGGGTGGGTATATTTTCAGCAAATTTAAAGTTTTGGGTAAACTATTCCTTTAATAAGTTTAACCATCATATAAATAATAATTGATCTGTCTTCCATCATATCAGGCCAAAATCCATGCCCATTATCTCAAGTGAGCAAATATGATTGCCCATAAAAGGAAGATGTGGGAATGTTAAATATTTCTTGGAATCAAACATATGCTATTTTAGCAACCCAAAACTACATCCACAAATACAGTTATTTTCCACTTGAGAATAAACTCATTTTTCTCTGGAAAATGCTGACTTACTTTGGCTGTGATAAATTGCAATAACTTTTCAGACACAGCTTGAACAACACCTATCAGTATTTCAGGCCTATCTATCAAAACAACCTTTGTCTTTATGAACACACCGCTGCACCTCAATAAATAAATCATTTGTCAGAACGCTTGTCCCTAATCCAGCTGCTCTTTGTATGTGTGCACACCTCCTGACAAATACAACTGAGAACATATAATGATGCCATACAAAATGTTTAGTCCTGCCACTTTCAGCAACATGCTAATGGTTAAAATTACATGTTGTCAAAGATGAGACTGGCTTGTGTGCTGAATCTAAATTGACATTTTAGTGGACTTTTTGAAGGTTCTTTTAAGAACTGTTCACTGAAAGCTTCATTGGGGAATCAAAATGGTACAGTTACAGTATATAATTGGTGTGAAGAACATTTTTATAATCTAAAGAACTTTTTCCACTGCAATGGAGAGATGCCAATAAAAACCTTTATAAAAATGTAAGGTGCGGTTCTACCACAAAATGTGTCCTGTTTTAGGTCGCTGACTGGTATAGTGGTAACAAAGGCTCATTTATTTTATGTTTTGGTGTTGCAAATTTGTTTGAATTTTTACAAACTCATTTGTATGTTTTTGTACGATCTGCTCATGCCCCTCCATGGATTATGCCTTTATGAAGACATTTGACCTATAATATGTTTTTGTATGATTCGGATTGTACAGATTCATATGAAATTGCACATTGTGCAATACTTACACCTATTCATGAGACTGGGTTGAACATGTCAAAACAAAAATAAGCGATAAACAATTTTATGTTCTAAGAGCATTTTCTTACAACATTTCCAAAGAGTTATGAAAAAGTGTGGTACCATTACTTCAATACACATCTGCATCTAAAGTTAGTACGCTAAACACTCCGTTACGTATATACTTTTTTTTTTGCAAAATTAATCATCCCTATTAAAGATGAGATCTACAACTGCACAATCACAATGAGGACTACCAAAGCAGACAGCTCAAGGCATACCTGATCGAACTTACGAAGAAAAGTAAACACTGGCCTTTATCCCAGGTATATTTGTTTAAACATGCAAATAGAGATTCAGCAATCATGGCTAATTTAGCATGCAGTGTCACCTCAACATTTAGGCTACAATCAGAATACCTACTAAATCATTTTATACAGGGTGTGTGAAATTATGGGGGTTGGTTTGGGCGCCACTGACCGGGTCTACTATTGTCACTCACTGACAAGGCCTGTCAATCTTCAAGAATGTCTCGAGTCGAGAGTCACCTTAAGAATAGGGGACCTGAAAAGGTCTGTCAATGGTTGTGAGAAATGGCTGATTTTGAATGGAGTGTTGTCCACATCAGGAATGTCTGTGAAAGGTCAAAACTGATTAAATACGTGTATAGAGCAGAGAACAGTGCGTAGTAGAGCTCACTGGCAGATAAAGGTGTGACTATTCAAGTGTTAAATGGGTTACTCAAAAGCAGTGTTGGGAAGGTTACTTTGGAAATGTAATAGGTTACAGATTACAAGTTACCCATATTTAAAATGTAATAAGTAGTGTAACTATTTCAATTACTTTATTCAAGTAATGTAACTAATTACATTTGATTAGGCTACTTTTTTTTTTTAGGCTACTTTTCTAAATTTCAAATGAATGTTTTCAATTGTTAATCATTTTGAAACATTTAAACAGGCAGGGTTAACCTTACAGTATAGTGCCCAACACTGATTACTGTCAAACTTTCAAAATCCTTCTCCACTTGAATTAAGATCATAATCATTTAATTTTAAAGCACAGCAACCACAAAATCAGACTTTAGCACCTCTTTTTATTTTGAGACCGTTCTGAGTAAATACAGTTTTAAAATAATTAATAACAAGATATAGTATAATAGCTTTGATACTGTTTTTGAAATTAAATATTTACATAGTTATGACAGGAAACACTGGCACCTAACAATGCCTTGGAAAAAAACAAACAGTTAATATAAAAAATAAAGCACAAACCCAAGTAGGAAATAAAACAGTTATTGAATAAGCATGTGTCCTATTCTGTGTCCTAAACTCCTGAAACACTAGTGTCTCTTATTTTAAAGCAGTCAATGCAATTTATGAAAGAAATCATTCACATCTGTATGTGTGTGAAAACATTCAGATGTAACCTCCTTTGTAATCGTTAATATTTTCAGAAGTAACTGTAATTTAATTACACTTTTTTTTTCTAAGTAACTGTAACAGATTACAGTTACATTTATTTTGTATTAATTAAATGACGTAATTCCGTTAGGCCTGCATGTAACTAGTTACTCCCCAACACTGCTCAAAACAAAAAGTTAATTAAATACTCAAATGCATATTTTTTTTAAAAAGCAGAATTTAATTTAGTTAAACCCTGTTATGGTGTGACTACTACATTATTAAAAATAATACAGTTTACATCTATATAAGGAATTTGCACCTACTATATAATGGTCATATCAACCTCAATAGTTCAGCTATGTTAAGTACAATTGGAAAATAAAATATAGCCTAACATGTATTCTAAAATACAACAACACCGGGACTTTCGTTGACCATGTATGCCTTCCCTTACCAAAAAGTAGTATACTTCAAGTTTTGATCAAAAAGCTGAAAAAAAATACTAAATTGGATTCAGACTAATAATTAAAATGTAGATGGAGTCGATCAACACCCCAAAGCTTGACAGTCATTATTACCTCTTCATTGGTCGACATTTTATTCCATAATATTACATAGTTTTGATACCATTTTATGTCTGATGATCGTGTTAGATTACATGTGGAAGCATCTGTTGTTTCGGTTTCTTCTTCACTTGTGTTTTTTTGGAAATTCTGTACAGAAGATGTGTACTAGCTCCCCCTACCGTATAACAATGAAAACACGGATTCTAGGAGCACAGTTATACCTAAAATATATTTAGACTTTTTCTAAGTGTAAGTCAAGTATACTTAAATGTCATTTTAAGTATATTTCTGAGAAGTACATAAAAAGTAGACAAAGTAACTTTCCTATTTTTAGTTTAAAAGAAGTATACTAATAGCACACTTGAATAAACTTCTTATTCGTAAGGGTTGTGTTTCAAGAAAGTTTCAAAAAAGTGTTACAACTGTCCTTTACCTCAGGATGGATTTTAGAGCGCCATTTTGGGCCAAGGCCAAACGCAACGTCCAAACGATGTGCTGTCACGATTTGCATTTGCTTGTTTAGGTGAGCTGGAAAATTTGGAAAAAGTAACGCAGTTACTTAATGTGAACTTATATTGGGCGTAAACAACATGCTTTTGATTCAAACAGAGCCTTCATCAAGCGCTCAGATCAGTTTGAACTAATTTAGGGGGGAACAAAACAAAACAAAACAAAAAAACCAGCAACAAACTGACAACTTAAATAGGCCTATGTTTTTGTTATAGGCAATTCCAACACAAAACGTTTGTTATTGGTAGATTATTAACATGGAAAAAGTTGTCCTAAAGATGGCAAGGGATGCAAATATTACACGTCATTACATTTAGAAGCTACCGTAAATATTAGTAGGCCTAAATGTGAGATATGGTATTTTTGTCGTACATACAGGAGATTATGGTCATGCTGTCCTGTGACATGACGTGGATTTAATCAATTCAGTAGACACTTATTGTAGACGTTTTTGTGCTGTTTATCGTACTATGACTATTTTTTATACACAAATGTAAACACGGGCTTTGTCTGGGGAGTAATTTTAGTAGTGCCTATACATATATAGTATACATGGTAAATGGCTCCATCTGCTGGTTATTCATAACATGCAGTTTTGTCTTCACCAAGATTGCTTTGGGTTGTTAATGCTTTGTCCAACCTGAAGGACAGATGAATAATGTTAGTTTATGATGTTAATATTATAAACAGTATTTTGATTTAACTGATTCTTCAGTGGAACACAAAATGATATATTGTGCTAAATATTATGGAATGAAAGCCTAAGTGACCATTCACTTGCTTATTTTTGTTGACGTTTGTGACTTGCATAATTTTGTTGACGAATGTGAATGACGACTGAGGCTTTCCTTCTGCCTGACCTCTCTTTTAATGTTCCAAAAAGAAAATCCTACAGGTTTGGATGAGTAAACTTGACAGATTTATTTTTTTGGGGTGAATGGGGGTTAATTGTTGCAGTTGGGCACTGGCCACAAGAAGGCGCCATAATACAAGGTTTCAGAAAAAAAGCTTAGTAACCATCGATCTTCTAGTACGTTTTTGTCGTTGTAGATCAGAATTCAGGAACGTTTGGTTTGCAGCACGTTCCAGATTCACTTTGTTGTAGGCTTTGTAGAATTTATGATAACGAGATTATTTTTGTTATGTATTTTAGCAGTTTGAATGCCCCTACATATTTTCCACACTTTCTTAGACTCCAAATATTGTACAGGTGATCAGCAAAATGATAATGTATCTGGTATTTGTACATTTAATTTGGACCGAACGATTATAAAATATATTTTAGCCTAGTCTACGTGATATTCAGTGCGCTTCTTGAAATACACAACGCAATTACAATAAGAAAAGGCTGGAGTATCTTTGCATGAGCTGTTTGATTTTACTGCGTTTTTGAAGGCTGTAATTAATTTTCCGAAGGGACATGACGTCTGTTCAGATGAATAACTGTCCATCTTTTGCTCACAAATCCCCATTTAAATCAGTGAAATGCCACTCAGTCGTTGTGTAGGCTATATGAGAACGATAATTTGAATTTAAATCCGTAGATATTTAATTGTATTGTGTCGCATTGTCCCTTTTCTCCCCCTGAAATGCAATATCTTAATTTTAAACATGCGAATCGCTATTTATGTAGTAGAAATTTGTATTTCGCTTTTAATAAGACTTTCGTGTACAGTTGATCGTGCTAAAATGAATTTACTTTGAACTGTATAACCCTGAGCATTACAGTGACTCGAAATAGTTTTTAGTAATTTATATATCTTATATATATTTATACCCTTCAGCCTCTCCAATGTCTGTATTAACCATGATAAAAAAAAAGCATATCAATGTTATGATTCTTTGTATTGATCAGCTTGATTATACAGATTTTCTTGTGAACCTCAATCATTATGTATTCAGTAAATTGAATTATTCTTCCTCATCAAGTGCCATGGGAATATTTAAAGAACCTGATCCAAATTCTGATCTTATTGATCCAAAATGATCAACACAATGTTTGAACAGCAGCAGCAGTGGATACAGATGGAACCTAAATGTCACTGTATTTCTGATGGTCTTCTGTTTTAACATTTTATTCTGCTCCCTAAGAATAATGTAATGCTAATCTCAGCAGATGCTCTCCTTTATCTAAACAAACCTTTAATACTGCAGCACTGTTTTGTAATTAAAGGGCTAATAGGAGGTAGGGGGTTTGGTTTCTTGTGAAGGGGGTTGAGTCTGTCGGTCATGTCTGTGCATTTGAATACATGTATCATGAATATGCATCTCTTAACCTAGAGCATTAGAGCTGTGGTTGGTCAGTGGATCCGTCTGATTAATTTAAGTTTTGCCTAATATATGTATGACTTCAACTGCTGAGCTCTTCTCGAATACCACAGATATAATTGTTGTCTATACATTAGAATAGCTCTTTAGATGTTCAAAGTTAAGTGATAAAATGTGATTAAAAGTACAGCTATTTCAGTTTTCATAAATTAGTTATACTATTTTTGTTTATTCATTCATTTTTTTTATTGTTTGTTTTCAAAGGCAGGACTTTTAATTAATTAACTTTTCAGCCTGAGTAAAATGAAGATCTTACTCATAGCACAATTAAGTCTAATTTGAACGCAGCAGTATATAGTTAACCTTCAGAAAATTTCCACAGGGCTTTCATTAGTTGAAAAGTATTAAATCCATTGTCATAAATGTATTACTCTCTTCAAAGAGGGTAAAATAATCCTTGCTAATCACAATGTAATAAAACTTGTCATATTTTGTTGTACATTTGGTATTTCCATTTCTGATTCCCAATAGTCTGAGTCAGGACAAATGTACTGAAATGTGCAGCGTTCACATCTGTTTTCAAGCCTTCAGAGTTAAAGGCCCCCCAAAAAAACCCCACATATAAATATACATATTTTCAGTGAATGTCTACTCTGCATTCCCCAGTTTTAATTGAATATGTGGCTAAAGTTATATACTAAAACCTTCATTTAAAAGCAAATTAATGTAAATTTCACAAGGACAGCGAAGGTGGCAAAGTGATTTTTTTTTGCTAATTTGCAAAGGTACTTAATATTGAGACCTTCAATTTTAGATGACCTCAAATGGTATAAAATTAGATATGCATAATTTGCCTTTTTTAGGAAATTACATATTAAGCTTTGAAATGCTTTGATTGCAATGGTACATTTGCATTGCAATATGTCAGCATTGTTGCAGTCTATTCAATATATTTTAATTGTAGCAAAGGTCGTTCGTTGTTTTAGAGTGGGATTGTGATTTGAAAATGCAGAGGGAAAAAATGTCAAGATTTTCCGTCCCTGACAAATGCACTCTCGACAGTGATTGGCCATTTATATGTTCCTCCTGTCTGTTGAATTGTTTTGAAGTTTGTGTGTTCCCCTTTAAGTAGGGGGCTCTTTGCAGCTGAAGAATTTGCTCTCCTGTCGCTGTGAATGGGGCCCGGGCAGGAGCTTAGCGAGGGGCCCAATGTTTTGTTCTGTTACACTTCAATAGGGCGTCAAGCAGGGTTTGGGCCTGACAGCCTGTGGATTAAAGGCTCTTACCAGAATCTGTTCGCCCCACCCCCTGACCCGCGCACTCCAACAATAGCCTGAAAGAAACACATTCTTAACTCTTCAAGTACTAAGTTGTAATTTGCAGGTGGCTATAGCCTACCAAGTCCCTCTAGTCCGAGACGATAAGGGTTATGGAGAAAAAAAAGGAGGGGGAAGAGGGTGTTAGTCATAGCCCACCTCCTTTTTTGGCCTACTTTAGCTTTCGTATACATTTAAAAATATAAATTAATTTCTCGTCGATCTGAAAATCAAACTAGAACATCTTGAAGTGCGTCATTGGACGCTAGACTTGAATTCAGAAAGGTACATTGTGTTCTTCTAATCCCTGCTATCTTTCCAAATTGTAAAAGATACACTGGATGTCAACAGTTTGGGGTTAGCAAAGCAGCCGTTGTTAACAATAGCCAGATGCCTGTTCCGAGCAAGCAGCGATGCTCCCAGGGGCTGTAGCGATGACAAACATTTGTTGTTGCCTTCTGTTTTGACAGCACTTCCGAACCCTGGAGCCAGGAAGAAACAGACTTTTGTTTGCAAAATATTTGACACTAGAGATCTAGATGGTAATAAAACCAAGCGTAAAATAGAAAGAAAGAAAAAAAACCTTCTTTTAGTTACTATTCTTATTCAATAAGAATTTTTAAGGTTCAAATGTGTTTAATCTAGATGGACCACTAGGTGGAGCTATTTGAAAGTTCCTCAGCAGGAACAGAAGTGCACAGGTGATGGGGTTTGTGAAGTTTATGTAAGACTTTTATTTAGATTTTCTGGGTTCTTCTAAGTGAACTTTTTTTATCTAAATGTTTACATGTTGGTTCAACATGCAGCGTGGAAGTTGGAAGATAAAAGCAGTCCTCAATCATTCATCATGTCTGCTAAAGTCGTAATAAACACGACTAAAAATGACCTAAATAATAGCTCTTTTTGGTCACATCAATCAGAGTATTTTTCCAGTGTGCTGAAATAATGCTCCTCAGAGTATTGCTGTCCAGAAGCTCTCTCGTGGTCCAGCGGAGAGGAGTCAGCTGGGTCAAGCTTTGCTCATCCTTATAGTCCCGGCCGGGTGTGTAACATCTGGCCAATGATTCAGAGTGTCAGAGTTCACATCGCGTACTCGCGCGCACACACACTGTGGGCCGATTCACGACCATGCCACTCTTTCTTTGTGGTCAGATGATTGGTTTGATCACCCTTATTTAAAAAGTTTTACACTGAATGCTCTGTTCATTCATTTCCATATCCTCTATAGCCTCGGTTTCGAATGGTTCGGGTCCAAGCCTGAAGGGACCCAAGCAAAATGTTTTTATTTATGGGGAAAATGGCATTGCTGACATTGCGTATTAGCTCTAAGTGCGTGCATGGTCAATGGTGTTTTTGAAAACTTCTCCTTAAAGTGGCAGCCTTTCAAGAGCAGCCGCCTTTTCCCCTCCCTTTTCCTGTCACCAGTAACAGAACACAGATGTGACACGGGGTAGCAATTCCACCTCTATTTGTTTTAAACATTATTTAAAATGTTTGCAGTCCTGAAAAGGGCTAGGGAGGGAGAGATTGGCTGCGCACACGTACATGTATGTGAGAAAGAAAAGGGGAGAGAGAAAGAGGGAAGGTAAAGTGTGTTTATGGACCCCTGGCCAGACCAGGTACAGCTAGTGACAGATATGTAAACAGCTCGAGCACGCTAGACACATACTGTGAAAATAAAGTAAAGCAGCCAGATTTTAAATGTCTTCTGTTTACTTTGGGATGTTTCCTAAAACTGTTGAACTGCTAGTTAATTTTCTCGTATACATGTCATAAATCCTTTACACCTGCACAGTCTGTAATACAATGTTGAGCTTGTTATGAGACGGCCAGTTAATTTTTTTATTAGTGCTTGGTTTTGTCATTATTTTTTTCTGTTTAATAATACTAATGATAACATTAAAATACTATTTTTATAGTAGTTAATAATAACATGTATTATTACTAAATAAATAATAAACTATTGTTATTGTTATGATTAATATTATTATTATTTATAGAAAATGTACTACTGTCATAATAGTTCATTTAATAATAGTAATGTTACTAATACTAATACTACTAATAATAATTTCTTATGCTGTGTCGTTGGAGAATAAGAATATTTTTTTAAAGCATAGTTATTATTGTAAGAAATAATAATAAAGCTAATAATATTAGTACAATATTTATAAATGTGCAAATTAGAGTTTAATGCAGGGTTTATATACCAATGCAACACTTGAGACTTTCCTTCTCATAAAAACGTTTTGAAATCATTTTTGACTTGCTGATCACTTTTTTTTTGTTCTTTTTTTTGCGGGGTATTTTGGACCATATATGTGAAGCTCAGTACACATCAAGGTGCTCTCGAAGGCACTTTACAAACAGCCGACTGTAACCTTCAAAGAATGAAAGAAAGAATCCAGGCTGCAGTGAAATGCTCACAGCAGAAATGTCAGCGAGACATTAAACAGTGAAAAGCTGGGTGTGCTTTCATAGTACAACCTGTCTGTTTTCCGTCCTATTTTTTTTCCAGCCCCGCATATCATCAGTCTTTCACTGAGCCTTTCACTATGTCCTGGTCATTTTCCAGGCTGTTTGTTGAAGTTATGACTAGAATGGGTGCTGTGAACCAGTAACACAGTCAAAATTAATATTGAGCCCTCAGACCACTATGTCCTGGTCATTTTCCAGGCTGTTTGTTGAAGTTATGACTAGAATGGGTGCTGTGAACCAGTAACACAGTCAAAATTAATATTGAGCCCTCAGACCATTTTATTTTATTTTATTTTATTTTATTTTATTTTATTTTATTTTATTTTATTTTATTTTATTTTATTTTATTTTATTTTATTTTATTTTATTTTATTTTATTTTATTTTATTTTATTTTATTTTATTTTATTTTATTTTATTTTATTTTATTTTATTTTATTTTATTTTATTTTATTTTATTTTATTTTATTTTATTTTATTTTATTTTATTTTATTTTATTTTATTATGCATGACTATAAGGTAGAAATAATGATCAAATAATTCAGTTTAAAGATGAAATAGCACTAGCATCATTCAGATCTATTTAATTTTATTTTATTTAATTTTATTGTTTTACATAAATATAAAGTAAATAAAAAAGTCCTTATAAAGACTAACATCACAAAATGGAACTGCAAAAAGCATTTAAACAGGTTTCCCAAATACTTTTCCCATTCCCCATTAGAGGAAAAACAGGTAGCCAGGTGTCAGTTTTCGCTATGAATTAACCTACGAATCCCTTACTTATAACGGTCTCTGCTTATTAAGATGGGTTACGATTATTTTAACATTGAACAAGTGACACACTTCACCTTTAAGTTTTGTTTTTTTGGCTTAAAGGTGTGATCGAAATCTAAAGCTGACGTACTTGGCTTTTTGTCAAAGATAACCACGCTCTGTCTTTGCCAGCTATGATTCGCAGTTAGCATGAAATTTCTACTTGCGTTTATAGTGATTACAACTGGTTGCGTTTGATTAGGGGCTGCTATAATTGGCTAACATTAGATCAGCGGGTGGTCCTGGCATGGACTGTCATTGTTAGGATAGAGGCAGCCATTATGTACGGAAGTGGTGATCAGGAAGTCCTTTTGCCCAAAGCAACGGCTCTGCGGCGCTCTCCTCTAGAGACCAAAAACAACAAACTTGCCAGACAAACACAAACACATAGGCCGAGCTTAGGCATGTACCTGCAGTCCTCCCCCTCTCTCTCCATCCTAACTATAACCTCGCCTTAATTGAACGTGATTCATGATCCTCCCTTCTTTTCCCCCCGACGAAGTGCTTTTGTATGCATCCTTTAGTTCCAGGGCCAAAAGGCCCTTTAGTGCCCTTAAGGCATTTCTTATTAGTGTTGTAACATTATACCTTCTTTCTCCCACCCTCCTTCTCTCTGCAGACTCAAAACAGCTTTGAAACTCATCCTGGACTGGTTCTTTAACATAACAGCACCTGAGGGCAGGAGACAGCAGGTTATGTGTCCAGGTCTTTCTCGCACACCTTCCTCGACTCCATCACTCCCACCCGAGAAGGTAAAGGCCCTTTGTCACGGAAGTGTACACAAGCAGCCCTTGTTTATTTTATTGAATGTTTATTTCATTTTTTAACGTGCCACTCAAGGCTTCGAGGAGACGCGTGTGTACCTTTCCTCAACCTGTGTAAACACAGCATATTTCGCCACTCGTTTCCCGCTGTAAAAAGTTTATATCTGTAATCTGTTAAGTCAGATATTTTAAACAACATCTCGCTGTGTTTATAAATGCTGCCGGGCCGCTGTAATGAATTTACGGTAATGCGTTTTTGTTTTTTTTTGTCTTCACTATCACTTCAAACCTTTTGCGGATGGGCCAAGCGAAAATCCTGTAAGATTATTTAGGTTTGAAATGAAAACAAAACCAAACGACTGAAATAGAAAATGTTGGTGTGACAGACAAAAACAACATGAGCGCAAACACTTCTGTGTGTAGGATGAAGACAAACAAGTGGTGGAAGTGTGTAAATTTGCACTCATACTGGTGAGGTGAATGATGAAGGATGAACACACTGTTATAGATTATTATGACCACCGGCAAAGTCGTTTTTCTTGGTGAAATATACACTGCCGATGATTTAGATTTTTATTTTTTTTGGTGCTCATTAAAAGTGTGTATTTATTCTGTTGGATTTTCATTTGTCAGTGTATATAACTGAAATAACACTTAAGTTGCATTAACAGACGTCCTGTGCAAATTATTCCTCAATTATCATTAAATGTTTGATAGAGTCTGGGGTGTTTTCACAGATTATTTTTCAAGTAAAAAGAATAACTGCTATTGAGATTCAGTGGGAGGCTTCTTTGGTTAGTTTGAATCACTTATCATTTCTCTGTGTCATTTGTAACGAATCACAGAGAAAAGAAGAATGGGATCAGGCTGGAGTGAAGTTGCTGTATGTCCGATTGCTTCTCTACTGATGAAACACTTATCCTGCATTTATTGACCATGTTGTGATGAATGAGTGATGAATGAATAGCTAAGCATATAGTACAAATGACAACTATTGCTTTAGGAGGTGACATATTATAGGCTTCCCAAAGTTAAAGTGCTAAACAACAGAAATAATTACTTCTGAACTCTTTATACATCCCTGTCCATGTTTATCCATGTTTCAAAAGAAATAAATGTGACTGGGAATTTTGCACATTAACCTACAGAAAGCTGCTTAGTTTGAAAGAGATTCAAACATCAGTACTCTATTGACAATAGATAATGGACCTTTTTTGACTACAAAATTTCGCAAAAATGTTGTTAATGTGAATGCACCTTTAAAATTCCAATTCATCTAAAGCTCAAATCGGATCCAACTGTCCTGCATTGGAAAACAGGGTTCCCGTGGGTCCTTAAAAAGTCTTACATTTAGTTGTATTAAATTTAAGGCCATAAAAAGTCTTAAATTGTAGAAGAAAGTCTTAATTATGATTTCAAGTAGTCTTAAATTTGGGGACGGAAAGACCAAAATTGCGATATAGCTTAATGTCACGATTAAACTTCAAAATGTTATGTTTTCATTACATAAACATGAGCACTGCACAGTCCGGTTCTGGCTGCTTTGTGTACTGCTGTTACCGGGGAAACAGATATATTTCTGCCTTTCCCAAAGCGCCACCTGCTGGCAGAGAATTAATGTTCATTTTCAATAAGCCTGTTGTTTTTTTCAGACCAATGTGAAAATCAACCCATATTTTTACTTTGCAAACAAGCAGAGCTGTAAATGTGAACTGGTGGATCGATAAGAAGATAATGCATTATAAAAATCTAAACAGTAAAATGTATTTATGTTATTTAATTAATATAATAATTTATTGATAATAATTATTTAATTTAGTATGATAACTAATACTTTTGACTCATCCGTTTTAAAAATAGTTTAAAGGCTGAAATGTGAAATGTATCATTTTATAAAACTTTTTGTTTTTGTGAAAACTTGTATCTGAACTGTAAATCATGCTTTTTACAGTCATTTTACAGTTTAATATGTTAATATTAAGTAAACGTTTCTCTACCCCGCTTACATGGTATTAATTTTATTTGTGCAGGTCTTAAAAAAGGTCTTAAAGTCTTACATTTGAGCTCCAAAATCCTGCAGAAACCCTGGAAGACGACTGTGTGAAATTAAAGTTTGGTTACATCCTGTCTACTACTATACCTACATGAATGCATGCAAAAATAAAAAGGACATTTGATGGAGTAAATTTAGTTATAAATGTATTTTTTTATCGACTTATGAACTTATGAACATATAAATAATAGCTTGGTCATCTCTTTTAATTTTTTTAGATCATAAGAAGCTGCCTTAGATTTTAGACACAGGAATTGTGACAGTGACAGACACACACACACCCACAAAGAGCGTGTTAGATGTATCTAAACATTGATAAACTCTTGGTTAGTCTTGGGCGTTGTACTGTCATATACCTCTATATCAGCTTGGCATTTTCTTGACAAGCTAATATCTATATAGAACATTTGTCAATTCACATCATTCTCTGATATTGTCATTGCATTATAAACCATTAATTTGTCAATGTGATCAAACAATCATCAACCTCGTGAAGCTCCTGCGTGATGTCACATTCTATCCAGCGCTGCGTTTCTCGATAACGATTGATCTTAGCGCTTAAGAGCGTTTTCTACAAGCCATTTTACGATCATTCGTTATTGTTTCACGTGTGTTTCCCAAAAATGCACTTAACACTAGTGTTGTCACGGTACGAAAATTTCAGTATTCGGTACCAATACCAGTGAAAATCACGGTTCTCGGTACCAAACTACACGCTCGTTTATTGAAATGTTAACCTAATGCTGCGTTCCAGACAACTCGGATATAATAACTATAATACAATATTATATTATATTATTATATTATAGTTATACGTATAATATTATACTTTACATAATAATATATAATATACTTCATATAAAAAATATATTATAGTATATAATATCTATATAGAGATGTTATTTCCGGGTCCAATACATGGCTGGTTTTCGTGAACATCAAAGTCATTGACAGATTTTTTTTTTTTCAGTCTTTGAAGCATATTTCCTACATTACTTCTTTTATTCATTTTTTTTGTTCAGTCATTTAATTTAGATGTGTATTTCAATTTTTCTGCCCTTTTTAATTATTTCATTTATAAATTGCACAATATACATTATACATTGTACACTTGATATACATTGCACTTGAATAAAGTTAAGTAATCTGCCAATTGTCCTGCAGGTGACCGCATAAATCTTTCTTCTTATGATGCACTTAGGGCTTTACGATTACTCCAGAGCACTCGTAGATCTACGAAGATTTTCAAGTGCTACTTAAGTTATGATGCTTTTGGGAAACAGACCGTAATTTTAAGGCCCAATCCCAATTCTACCCCTTAGCCCTTCCCCTTTCCCCTACCCCTCCGTTTTGCGCGTTCACGTGACTCTCGTTGCTGGAAAATATAATGTAGCGATTCAGTATTTAAACTCTTATTAATAAAAGTCGTGGGGCAGCGTTGATAAGTTTCTTTTCTTCTGGATGTGTGAGCTGCGTGATCTCCGATATATATGTGTGTGCTTGTGTGTGTGTGTGTGTATGTGTGTGTGTGTGTGTGTCAGTAAGCAGCGCATTAATATAGAACGGTAATTAAAAGCTCTAATGCACACCAGCACACCAGTATAGGTGTGTGTATTGTAGGAGCTTGACGACGTATGATGACGTGTGACGGCATAGTAGTGGTGTCCCAATTCTTAGGGGAATATTTTCACCCCTACCCCTTGACACTCTGTTTCAAGGGACAAGGGGTAGGGGAAGGGGTATAAAATAGAATTGGGATTGGGCCTAAGATCAGTCGTACGATCGTTTTTACGAACGTTTTAGGCTTACGAAGCTTTTGGGAAACGCAGCTCAGAACAATCACAAGTTCCATCAGAGCGACACAAAGAATGGTGGATGTGCGACTAAGGAGGGAGTCGTTCTTCATATTCCCTCAGATGTGAGGGGCCGTATATTAAGGCAGTCAAATTGTAGTGTGTGGATGATTGGTGGCAAGAACCTGGACAGGGAAGATTGCTTGTGAGACTAGCCTCGCATTAAACCTGTCAATGTACGAACAGTTCACAGGAGAGAGCTATAATTAAGGCTCCCTCATCCAGGAGAGGCTCTCCATTATATTCAAATTAAGCATGAGTGATTTTGAGCAATGTATTCTGAAGGTATATGTGTGTTGATAGCCTTGGAGAGGCATGGGATTTCATCTCACCGTGTCAGACAAACAGAAGAAAGAGAGAGAGGGTGACAGAAAAAAGAAAAATCTTTTTGAAAAGATTCAAGACACAGTTCCTTTTGTTTGGATTATGATCATATTGTCTCGTAAAGTTGTGGAAAATGTCAGATCGCCTGTCCTCATATCCGTCTGCGAGTGTGTGTTCCTGTGCCTCAAGCCGACTGATTTGTTGCCATCACCGAGAGTGATAAAGCGATTCCTCTTCCTGAGCGCTCACGACCACATCTTCGGAGAACAGTTTGTTCATTTCAATAGCTCGGGGACGTAAAAAGAGCGGGCGAAGTGGCGAAGTTCCTCCCATAAATCTCAGCTGAAATATGACTTCTCCAGCCTTTTCCTCACAACTCGAGTGTGGAGGCATGCTTGAACCTGACATTAAATGCCCCTCTCGTCTAAATGAGCGTAAGACTGATGGCGGAAAAGTTACACTTCCAGAGCAACAGATAGTGACCAGAAGTGTGCGAGCTTTAAACAAGCTGTATGAATTGTGTTCAAGTCCTTACTGGTTTATCTGTCCAGGAGAGCTATAAAGAACAAGAAACAGACTATGAGGCAATAAATTTGACTATTATTTGTTGGCCAGAGTGAGTATAACATATCTTTGTTTAATATGTGAGCGCATGGGAGTCACTTTTACATAAAAGTGCTGGAGGGAGAGAACAGACGTGCAGGTTGTGATTTCACAAAGTGGCTAAACTTATGAATTAATTGGGTTATACACAATTAATTTAAAATGATCTCGCAGTGTTTTGATAATAAATCAATAGTCACTAAATAACAATGTCTGTCTAGTAAGGTATTTGCTCAAGTCACAAATAAAATGTAAGCAATATTATGATTAGAAATGGCCGCATTGTACATTAACATCCCACTGTATTCTCATTAACTTCTGATTTGAGAACGAGAGTAATTTTTAAGCTTGTGACGTATTTGGTTTGAAAACTTAATCTGCTGTCGATTTTGGGATTTTTAGATCAGTGGATAAATGCATGGATCAGTAATTAAGTATTAAATATTTATATTAAATATAGGAGGAAGTCTCTTATGTTCACCAAGGCTACATTTATTTGATCAAAAATATAGTACAAACAGTAATTGTCACGGATTGTGATATTGTTAAATATTGTAAACAATCTAAAATAAATTTTAAATTTTAAAATGTCATTTATTTCTGTGATGCCAAAGATGAATTTTCAGCAGCTATTACATAATCACATGATCTTTCAAAAATAATTCTGATATGCTAATTTGGTGATTAAGAAACATTTCTTAATGTTTCAATGTTGAAAATGGTTGTGCTGCTTAATATTTTTTGTGGAAACTTTTTAGGATTCTTATTCTATTCTATTCTGATAAATATAAATTCTTTGATAAAAAGAAACAGCATTTACTTATAGAAGTCTTTTTTACCATTATATCTTTACCATAATTGTTGATAAAAATTCATAAAAAATTAATTATTGCATAATCAATCAATCAATCAATCAATCTGAACCCAAACTTTTGAATGTAATGGCTTGTTGGTCCAGTGGAAATATTTTTGTGTTGAGTTTGAGGGGTTCCAGGATCTAATTCAACATAATTTAAGTTAATCTCATAATATATTATTTAATAACCTTGGAGTGGGGTAACATTTGTTTGCATTTTGTTTTGTGTTTTTCAACAGAACAGATAGCTGTGCAAAGGTCTGAAGACATCTCAAAAACCTTTAAAACACATCTTGTTTCCTTGTGTTCTGCGCCTTTTTCTTTTTTCCTTTTCCCATCTAGCACAAGTACTGTATGTGTCTTATGATCAGGATCAAGTGAACCTGAAAACACCCTAAATATTCAGAGCTCCCTTAAGACAGACTAAATGACTAGTTGTTCAGGAAACTCAACAACTGTTTACTTTTGAATATATGTTGTTTTACACATCCCTAACATATCCTCAATATGTGCATATGTAAGTGAACCACTGAGAGAGAGACCGGTAAAGAAAAAATGAGTGGTAGAGACAGAAAGCGAGAGATTGCTATCTATCTACACTGAAAAAGAATCCACCATCTTAGGTTTCTGTAGGAACACAGTGCTTTTGTGTTGCACGGCTGGCTCTCGCCAACACTAGTGTCTTACAGGCTGGCGAATTACATGCGCTGGCTCCCTCCAACCTCGCTTTCCTCTCACACTAATCTTGTCGTATTACCTTCCAGGATCGCCGTGCTGTTTTAATATCTGTCACTACCTTCCTGGATTTTACGACTGTGCTTCCTCCCCTTTCATTTGTCCTCTTTTTGTTTGACTAGCCTGTCTCACCCTTTTGTATAATTCTGTCTTTGTTTGATGGGAGAAATGAGAGTGATTTCAGGTCTGGTCTCTGCTCTATCTCCGGCTGTTTTTCTCGTCTGTGCCCAAGCTGTCGCTTGGAGAATGCACCCGCTCTTTCGCCGACAAGTTGGTGTAAACACTCTGATTGCAGCGCTAACCAGTCTCGTGGAGCGCCGCACCTGTGTTTCATTGGTAACGGCCTAGCAACAGGTTCGTCATTACAATGGAGGTAATCTATTAGCCTTAATGAGGCCTGGCGGAGAGACGCATTGATTTTTGCTGAATGCCTGTGATTACCATCCCACTCAGAGAGAACGTAATGCCTCCAGCCAACAGTAATGCTAGAAACAACCACCTCAGTCCTGCAGGGCCTGCTAGGGTCCTGAAGACATTCATTATAAATACATGGACTGTTTGGACAAATAGGCATAATGATGAGCATAATTCAGTTTTTCAAACGTAGCATTACTGTTATTTAAACAATAAGCTGCTGTTTCGCTCATTGCAGTGAATGATTACATTTAGACCGTGTCCTGTATACGTTAATATATGACATTGCTCCATGACAGGCTGCATTCA